AAGGAAATGCCCTTATCAATGTTTCATCGATCAATCAATTCAAGGGCCGGCGGCGGTAGGGAAGGAAGAAGAGATGATGCGCTGATCAGTACGGACGGGAGCATGGCTTTCTCAACAAACTCTAGCCTGACTTTCTTCCAGAGGTGGGAATAAAAAGCCGGGAATGGGAAATTTTCTCCGCTCCCTACACTTGAACATAAATCAATCTATCATGTTAAGAAGATTCTTCTTCCAGTGTAGGCAACGAGCAAAGCTCCAACGAGTTCATTCGTTAGCGCAACGAGCAAAGCCACGAGCGATTTGAGTTAGTCAATGCACTCTATTGGGCAGCAAAAAAAAGGGCTCTTTACTATTGTGAAAGTAATTGACTTGGGCTTTGACAAGACTTGCTAACGACTGAACTCGCGCAGCAAAAAGCCAAGCGAGTGCTTTGATGTGTGGGTTTCTTGGCTGACTTTCGAGTTTCAAGGCTTGTGCGATATAGAGTGCTTTGCAACAACAAAAAGTTCACTACATGCTTTACAAAGAGCCGTTCTGCCTCTTCCGCGGTGCAGTTCCATGGGGCCGCTATGAAGGTTGCATACTTTGATAATCAGTCCACCACGACCATGATGGATCCCAGCTCCCCCACCTCTGGCAGGCCAATTATTCAGTCCATAGATATACTCTCCCAGGGCCTACTTGGGATAAGTAGGGGCTCGAGTAGCCCCACTGGCTTGGCTCTCTCTACCTTGTCTTGTTGGCACACAAGACAAGTCCTCATGTATTCTTCCACATCATCCGCCATGTGTGGCCAATAGTAGCCCCTTTCTAGTAGGGCCAAGCGCGCTGCATGCCTGAGTGGCCAGCCCACTGCGTGTCATGGCACTCTTTGAGGAGTTCCTTCTGTAGTTATCCATCTTCGCCACGGACCTTGACCCTAGCAGATAGTGTCTCCATGTCCTTAGACAATGCACTATCACTGTCTTCTCCTTCTCTTGGACCGTCTACCTCCTCTCCGTGTCATTGAAAAGCTCTCTGACATGCCTAGCAATCTGTGGCACTCATCCGACCTGCTCGATCCTTCTTGAGGAGATCCGTGAGTTGAGCCGCTCTTCTTGAGTAGCTGGGGATGAACCGCCAATAGTAGTTCACTACCCCGAGGAACGACCTTCATTCCCCTTGGTAGGTGCAGGTCTTTCTTCTATGGCCTTGATCTTCCCCTTGTCCATCCTGATTTTCCCACCCCCAATCCAATGCCTTAAGAAGAATATCTCACAAAGGCCAAAGGAGCACTTTTCTTCCAAAACATAAAAGTTCTTCTTTCTTAGCAGCTCAAACACAATCCGTAGGTGGTCTAGGTCTTCTTTTAACAGCTATATACCACTATGTCATCAAGGTAGGCCACTACGAACTTGTCTAAGTAGGGGTGGAAGATCTCATTCATAATAGTACGAAAGGTGGGAGGGGCATTTGTTGAGCCAAAAGGCATTACTAGGAAATCAAAAGCACCGTTCCTCGTTACGCAAGTCGTCTTGTGCTCATCCCCTTCCGCGATTTGCACTTAGTAGTAGCCGGACCTTAGATCTAACTTAGAGAAGTATCTCACACTTCCCAGTTGATCGAATAGGTCTGCGATCAAGGGAATGGGATACTTTTTTTTTTATGGTCACCTTGTTTAGTGCTCGATAATCAACACATAGTCGTAGGGTCCCATCATACTTCTTTTGGAATAGCACTGGGGCTCAATAGGGTGCCCTCGCGGGTTGAATGAATCCGGGATGGGCTTATTTAGCTGTTTCCTTTGTCCCTCCATCTCGGGAGGTGCCATCCGGTATGTGGCCAATGCTGAGGGATTGGCTCGTGGCTTATGATCTACAGCCCTCCTTGGAGGCAGTACCTCGGGGAGCTCATGGGGCATCACGTCTTCAAACTCTCGAAGCACCTCTTGCATTTTTTGAGGTATGGGCCGCTCCCCTGGCCCCTCTTCCTCTAGTAAGGCTGCTGCAAATGTGCCTTGACCTTGCTTCAAGCCTTTCTCCAGTTGTGGAGCTGACACTACCCCAACTCCCTTCCCTTGGTAGGGACTGTAGGGACCATGCATGGGGCTTGCTCATTAAAGAGGCATATTGTTCCCATAAAAGGCATAGGGACTATTCTAGCTATGCTAATTCAGCCTACTTTCCCAAAAATCACTTGAAAATCATCTAAAGGAACAGCTAGAAAGTTGGTCTTACCCGTCCATGCACCGAGCTGTATGGGCACTTCTTTAGCCAACCTTGTGATGGCTCAGGCCTCCGAATTGACAGCCTTCCTCTTGCTTGAGTCGCTACCAGCTGTACACAACGACGTGCCTCTTGATCTGTCACAAAGTTGTGTGTAGCCCTGGTGTCTATCATAGCCTTAGTAGGTTTTACGTTGACAGACACTTCCACATACATAAGCTCTCATGCTTGGGGTCGCTTGCCCCTTCAATGCATTGAGCAGCCTTAGAGCCCTCATCTTGGGCTCATCCTCGCTGGCTTGGGCTTGTATGTTGTTCAAGGACTGCTGTTTTTTGGGGCAATTGCGTGCTTGGTGTGGGCCATTGCATATAAAGCATCCAGAACTCCAACCCAGGTGATTAGGGCTTACCTTAGAGTCCTGACCCTTTAAGGGAGTTGGGAACCTTCTTTTTCGTCGTATCGCCTTTCCTCTTAAAGCGCTTAGCTGGTTTG